TTTCTTTCTTTCTTTCTTTCTTTCTTTCTTTCTTTCTTTCTTTCTTTCTTTCTTTCTTTCTTTTTTTCTTTGCAGAACCAGGGATTGAACTCAGGCCCATGCGCTTGCCAGGGAAACGCTTATTCCACTGAGCCATCTCCCCGGCCCCTCTTCTGTTTCTTGAAAACCTTTCTCTTTCAACTTATTTATTTGGCAAATTGTTTGAACACCCGATCTGTGTCAGAACTAGGTTGGTGATAATACTATGAAAAATAGGGGTGACTAGAAGTCTGCCCAGAGCCATCTTCTAAAGATAAAGCCTTCTTCTGATTTGTCTTAAAATTGTTATTGATCTACCTTTATCTTTGTTGGAACACATTGGATGACTAGCGAGTAGCTGTGGGAATCATTTAGCTAGACTAAGACCTTTGTCAGCTGATAGCAATGCTTTATTATTATTATTCTTATTTAGGGTACCGAGGATCGAACTTGGGACTTTGTTCTTTCCAGGGAGGTACTTACGCCCCTGAACTATTTCCCAGGTCCTGATAGCAATACTTTAACAGAGATGTATTTTTAAAAAATGAACATTCACTTAGCAATTGGTATATATTCTTACTGGACTGAGTTAATTGAATTAATGGGTGCACCTTGAGACCCTAATGCTTAGCGAAATAAATCAGAGACAGAAGGTTAAATAGCTCATGTCTTCTCTTACAAGAGAGACATAAATCATGGCTGTAACTTAAAGAGCAAAATAAAAGTAGATGGTAGGAAATAGGGAGCTTAGATCTTTCACAGATGGGAAGGGGACCTAGTGGGGGAAGGATAGGAGAAGGGAAGGGCAAATAAAAAGCACTAAGATGTGATGTTCATCTACCAGCTACCTATGATGAAGGTATTCATCATGTATCACAAACATGCACCAATAAAAATTCTTAAGAAATGAATTTTCTCTTAGCAATTGGTCTGTATTTTTACTGAATTGAATTAATTATTAATGCTTAGAATGCTGCTTGCCTTTGGTTCTAAGTAATGGAATTAGGTTGATACAGAGAATAACATTTTTCTGAACCTTGAGGCTTCAAGAGCAGAGTTTGAAGTTGAGGAATCCTACTTAGAAATGGCAGCCTTGTGACATAGGACCAGGGTCCTCTGCTTGCTTAGAGAAATTGCTGTATGGAAAATAATGTGGGTGAGAAACCCAGGAGTGGAAATTGTGACTCTAATACCTGACTAAGATTTGGCCTCTACCCTCTCCTCACCATGAATTCTCTGCAGCAGGGCAACCTCACATGGACGTATCACAGCTGGCTACCTCTCCTAGGGTGCTTTCCGACCCATGTTCATTTACCTTCTCTGAACTTTTATGGCACCTGTAACCTGTGCTATGTGTACTAACTCTTAATTGTGTATGTTTGTGCCCTTCTTGGAGATGGTTTCTTTTATTTTTGGTTGGTTTACACCCAGGTTGTAAGTTCCCGAAGGCAAGGGTCAAATCTAAATGCCTCAGAACCTCAAGCCAACTTAGGTACTGTGAGGTTCAGCCAGTGACTTAAAATGCATTTTATGTGGGGCTTTTGCTGTAGCTCAGGGCTAGAGTAGGTGCCTGGCAGTGCAGAGCTGTGTACTTAATCACAGCTTGCAAAAAATACAAACAAACAGAAAAAATGCATTTGAACAAGATATTAAGGTTTTTCTTCCAAGAAGAAGGTGTCTATATTGGTCTACAAAGCATGCTATTGAATTCATATTGTTTTTCTACTAAATTTTTACAAAATGTATACTATAGCAAGGCTAATATTGTTAGTATAAATAATACATACCTGCTTAAAAATACTTCAGTGGAATTCTAATCAGGGTTTTGATTGTTGTATTCATTAGAAAGCTAGCATAATTATTGGGTAGATTCCCATTTAGATCACAGAAAGGGAGAGTCTCTTCTATTTTCTCGGTTTATCCAAGTTTCTACTGTGTTAAGCTGATAAAGGTAAGTGTTTTATCTGGAGAATTTTATCTTCACAAAAATTCTATTTGCTTATTTGTTCTCATTCACCAAGCAAAAGCCACAAGTGCCACTCACGTTTCCCACTTTTTTAGGTGGAGTGGATTCCTCCTTTGTGCCATTGCAATGTTTCTTGTGATATTCCCAATGTTTACTTTTCCAAAAAAACTTCCACCTCGTCACAAGAAAAAGAAAAAGAAAAAGTTCTCAGCTGACGCTGTGAGTGACGATGATGTCATGAAGGAGAAATCAAACACTAGTGAACAAGTGGACAAAAAAGTTTCTTCAATGGGATTTGGAAAGAATGTCAGAGGTACCGTACACGTCTTGAATATCTATGTGCATGTTGCTTCGGGTCAGTGCTCCTCAGTGTGGTCTGTGATGAGTGGTGCTGTGTCCCTGTGTCTCTTAGTGGCCCGTGGTCCAAATAAGTGCAGTGCTAAGAGGAGAGTAAGTTCTGCAGACGTTTGTTAGGAATTTGCCACAGTAATTTTATGTCTGTTGAAACTAACAATAATTTAACAATTGGGCTCATTTTGCATGTTTTGTTAAAAATAACTTTCCAATAATTTGTCACGAATGTATTTTGCAAATGTATCAGTAGATGACAGACCAGAAATAAGAAAAATAAAGGTCTTCCCTCTCACAGATCATTTGAGAAGCACTGATCGACAATCACAAAGAGATGAATATATAATATGTCACTACTATAATTACAGATTTTAAAAATACTGAATGCATTGCATAATAGATAGCTTTGGTTTGGGGACTCATGGCTCTGGTAGTATGACTTGAGCCCAACACAAGCAAAGCCTGCCACCAGAAGGAAATCTCATTCTGCAGTGGCTCCCATGGGGGATTGTTTATGGCCATCCTTGGTGAACGGTGGCCAGGCCTCCAAACCCATCTGCAAAGCATCTGGATAGTTTCAGTGATGGGCTGCTCTGCTTTCAATTTTTCTTTCTTTCTTTCTTTCTTTCTTTCTTTCTTTCTTTCTTTCTTTCTTTCTTTCTTTCTTATAACAAGTTTGTTGCAGCTGGCTTGGGCAATCTAATACCTAAGCAATTCGAATGGACCTTAACCAGGCAATCCTTACTCAGTATTCCGTCTGTCTTGAATGAAGATGAGGAAATCCAGGGCCACCCTCCCCTTCATTTCAGGCTTATTTCTTGTATTTTCTGAATTTTTTTTTTTTTTTTTTTTTGGTGAAAGTTATAAAGCATAACGTTTGTCAGACAATTGCATTAGTCAAAATTGAAGGTCCCGAGGAGATGGCTCAGTAGAATAAGCACTTTCCTGGCAAGTGCAGGGTCCTAAGTTCAATCCCCTGTAATGAAAAAAAAAAAAAATCAATAAGATTTTCCCAGACACATTCTCATCTCACTCTGACTAGGGGGGCATAGTAAGACCAGAGCGGAGCCTTTCACCTGCCTCTGCTGCAGTTACTATTATAGGCCTGGCCCTGCGAGGCCAGGAAGAATAATAGTTGCCTTGGACCATTTTTTTTTTTTTTTTTTTTTTTAATGTGCTTTTCAACCTTCTGCCCTCCATGAATGCCTTGTCTTCTGCAGTGCCCCTCTGCTTTTTTTGAGGTGCTGGGGCATGCAGTATTGTGTTCCATCCTTTGACTTTCAGCCCATGAATGTTTTTTTTTTTTTTTTTTGAGTTTTAATGAAAAGCAGCTTGTTTGGCTCCTGATTCTAGAGGTCTGAGGTCGAGGGGGCTCTAGTGGTGACCTTGGACCATTTTAAAAGACTGTATTTGTTGAAAATGTTTCATTCAAAATGCTTCTTGCCAGTTCAGTTTGAGCTTTGGTGTTGTCCCTCAGCATTCTCTTGTAACAGTGACTAGTTTTAGAACTGCCCAAATGACTTCTTGTGCTCCACTCACAAAGGATTCTGTGCATGATTGTGTGGACCAGCCTGTAATGTGCATGATTGTGTGGACCAGCCTACCTTCCTGCATAGGTTGTGGCCCATTCTGGCAACTCTCAACAATGCAATCTTTTTTGTCATTGTTGTTCAGTTTCATTTTACAACTTAATTGATGGAAAATTGATGTGAAAGAATTTTTTTTTGTGAAAGAATTTAAAACATACAAATATACTTAGTGTCAGGGCTGGGGAGATGGCTCAGTAGAATAAGCACTTCCTTGGCAAGTACAAGGGCCTGAGTTTAATCACTAGTTCTGCCAACAAAAACCCCCCCAAAAAGCCAAAACAAAAACAAAAACAAAAATATACTTAGTGTCATAATTTATTAATAATGTGAAATAGACTGAAGGGGAGAAATAAAGGCATAGGTAAGGTAAACCTGTATATTTTATAGCTGAGTAGATCATCTGAACAAAAATGTATGTAAAAGAGGCGGGAAGACTGATACCCAGTGCTGCCAGTGCATATGTGGTCATGTAGCTGCAGTCGCAGTATAGGCAAAGAAGCCTTAGCCAAATGCCAGGTTCGCAGCTGGTTCTTGGCGGGACGACAGAGAGGGGGCTCCCTCCCAGGTCTATGCCTGCCTTGCCTTTCTGCGCATCCTGAGCCTCCTAGGGTCGCTGGCCCTTGAATCCTTGTCTCAGGCCCTGTTGCCAGGGCATTCACAGTTAGACAGGCAGATTCAGAAATGATGAAAAGCCACCAGAGAATTTAGGAATGAGTTTTGGAAATGTAACCCACATACTATTACTACCTCGCTCCCTGTACTCCTAGGGATGGTTGTTCTCTGTCTTTCCTACACTGAATTAGATGCTCCTGGATGTTTTCAGCCTCTGTTCTGATTCTCTTGCTAGTGTTTCTAACACTAAATTCTTTCTTTTCATTTTATTCATGATTATGACTGGTCCACCTCTGTGGCTTACCCTTCTGCTTCCTTCTAATCCTTCCCCTGTACTGATTCTTTAATTGGTTCTAGACTGAAACTTCAAGAGTCATTTTATCTCACTGGAAAGAGATACTGTTATCATGAGCTTTTTCTGAAAATCTTTTGCTAAAAATGAAGAAAATGATACTAATGATATTAAAATTATGTTTAATTACAATATTAACCTTAATTCATATTTATCTTGTACACATTGATTTTCTTGGGAGCATTTAATACATATCACCTGTAGGAAGTGACAGTCTCATATTTAATCTCATTTTCAAAAAGACCAATTAAATCGCTAGGGTGTATTCACTGTTGATGTAATTTGAATTACAAAGGTGGGATTCATGATTAAAGTCTTAAAGACTGAAAATGACTGCTGAGATTTCATTTTGAATTCAGGCTGAACTTGAGTACCATACACTCTTTTTCCTTCTGCTTAGGGGAGCAAGATTTCTTTTGGTTTTTGTTCATGAGTGAACCAAGATTAACCCTTTTAAAGAGGAGGTAGGGGGCAAGAGAGATAGCTCAGT